GCAGGTGGGGCCTCAGGTTTAAATACCAGGGAGCAGAAGGAGCATGGAAAAAGGACATGTGCCTGCCTGCGGTGTGGAGGAATTCACAGGTAGGAGGGAAAAGATTTTCAAGGCCGGCTGCCAAATCAGAGGCAGGGAGGGACACTGAGCCCAGAGGGGGTGCATCCCGACCAGCCCCCCACTCCTGGACGCCCTGCCCCTGTCCTCAGTGTCCCCACCCTGTACTCTTCTTACTCCTGTTTACTTCCGTCAGCAGTGTGAATCCATTCTCTTAAACTCTTAGAACAGTGCAGACACGATGTAAGCCTCCAGGCTCCTTTCTCCTTCATCCCTTTTTTCTTTTACATCCATGTTATGCACCCCCAGGAGAGGGAGACCCATGATGCATGTTTCCATAAAACGTGCCATCTGTACAGCTCAAGCTGCGCACCCAGCGGCACCCTGCGTGTTCCTCCTCCCTGAGATCCTGGCTATGTGCCAGGCACTATTTTAATCTCTGAATAAAACAAACAGAATCCCCATGCTAGTGGGATGGAGTAAAGATGATAAATAAGTATAAGACATATGTACAAGTGTCATACCTGTTATGGAAAAATATAAAACTAGGGCAGTGGGCTCAGCATGGCTCACCTCAGCGCTGAGGTGACACAGGAGTGAAAACGACCCCTGTCCATGGGCTGATGCTCCTCTCCCCGTTCTCTCTGTGGAGAGTTTAGACTTCTTACTTGGTGCCTGTTGCTGGGATGGGCTCCTGGGAGGGGGAGTGTGTGTGCCCATTCTTCCATCTTCCACAGGAAGGCCCCTTCCTGGTTTTTGTTTTGTTTTTAGAAATTTTATTGGGGAATAGTGTGTTTTTCCAGGACCCATCAGCTCCAAGTCAAGTCATTGTTTCAATCTGTTGGGTTGTCAGAAAAGTCATGACATATTTTTTTCTATGTTTTTCGTTGCAAAAATACATCATAACTTTTACGACAACCCAATAGTTGTGGAGGGCGCAGCTCCTTGGCCCATGTGAGAGTCGAACCGGCAACCTTGGTGCTATGAGCCTGCGCTCTCACCACCTGAGCCACCTGGCTGCCCTGCCCCTTCCTGGTTTGGATGGTGCATCTGGGGCAAGTACAGGTGGGATGGGCCATGATGGACTGAGCACATGTTGGCAGCGGCCAGGCCAGGCAAACCAGGCCCTCCGATAGGAAGGGGGAAGAGGGTTTCCCTCTAACAGGAGAAGGTCAAAAGCAGCCCAGCACGTGGAGAGGGGGGCATAGACTCCAGGTGACTCAGGGCCAGTCACTGCCCCTTTGGGCCCCCTTCCTCCTTGGGGCCACGTCTGATTCGCACCCTCTCCCTCCTTCCCAAGGGAGGTCGTTCAGGACAGTCAGATGGCAGCCCAGGCTGTGAGCTCCCAGGAACTTGATGGGAAATGGTCAGGAAGCTGGAGTTCTCGGGTTCCTCAAATCTAGGCAGAGGGCAGTGCACCCTTCAGAGCATCCTAGATGGAAACCCTCACGAGCTCTCTGGGGAGGTGCTTGGGGAAGGGCTGGAACCACCGGCGATCACAGAGGAAGAAACAAACACATATCTGATGTTCCTCAGCCTGTCCTTTTGTCCCCAGAGCCAGCCGACAGGATAACTGCTGCCCCCATTTTATAAAAAGAGGAAACTGAGGCTCAGAGACAGCGAGTGACTTGCCCAAGGTCATTCAGCAGAAGGGGTGGAACCTGTCCCTTTGAATCGGGTCCTCCCTCAGAGGATGGAGGTGGGGTAGGGGGAGTCCTCGTTACAGGGATGAGATGAGAATAACGCCAGGACACTTTCTACTACAAGTGACAGAAACCCATCTCAAACCCGCTTCAGCACAAAAGGAAATACTACAGCTCACTGGTTCAGTCAGCACAGGCTGGGGTTATGCTGTGCTAACAAGCAGCCCCCAAATCTCAGTGGGTTAGAAAAAAGGATTTATTTCTTGCTCACAATACTTGTCCATCACAAGTGAACTGGGAACTTGACTCCACACCTTCCCACTCAAGACGCAGGCTGATGGAGCAGCCGCCCTCTCAAACATCGCTGGTCACCGTAGCAGAGAGAAACGCCCTCGAGAGGGCGTCACAGCTGTCAGTTAAATGCTCTGGTCCCCAAAGTGAGACTTAACCATGTCTGCTCATCTGCTCGTAGCTCATTGGCCAGTCCTGGCCACATGGCCCCATCTGACCACAATGGGGCCAGGAAGTGCAATCCTACCCAAGGTCAAGAGCTGGGACTATCTGGTGAACAGCGTAATGCCTTCCATACTCGTATACCTGCAAGTCCGGGGGTGGGGGTGGGGGTGAGGGTGGGGGGCTGTAGTTTCAGGCATGGCTGCATCCAGGAGCTTAGGAGATATTCTCAGGACTATGTCTGCGTCTCCCGGCTCTGCTTTCCTGGGTGCTGGCTTCATCTCAGGCGAGCTGTTCCCTCCTGGTGCTCCCCAGCAGCTCCAGGCTTAGTCCATCCCCAACAGCTTGGCCATCCCAGTAGAAAGAGCACATGGACCAGCCTGGGTCACGTGTCTCTCCCTGGACCAGCTGGAATGCTCTGTTGGCCTGGCCTGGGTGACATAGCCACTCCCCCAGCTGGGGTCAGTCACCCCCATAAGGATGCTACACCAGCAGAAGCAACAGGCACCCACCAGTGTTTGCTGAGAGGTTCTAACCTCTTGACCTAGGTCCCCACAAGCCAAACAAGGTGAGGAACAGCTGGACTTAGGATCAGGAGACCAGAGCGCGAGCGCTGACTCTGAGCTTTAATTGCGTGGATGACCTCAGGAATGCCACCTGCCCTTCTGCACTTTCCCTTCCCTCATCAGATGGCCGTCCCTGTCCCTTCAGGAGCCTGGGGATGGAAGAAGGCTGGACCAGGAGCAGAAAGCTGCATCCTTAAGAGTGGGATCATCAACAACTCTTGCTTGGGGCCACCTCTCCCCACAGGTGCTCAGGGCTCGGTCGCAGCCCCAGGCCTCTACGCAAGCTCTTTCTTCTTCCCGAATCACTGGTGCATCTAACAACTACTATTCATTTTTCAAAGTCCACAAACCACCTCCTCCGTGCAGCCTCCACCCTCCCCTCTCGATGCCCCCTCTGGGCTCCCGTCTGTGGCATTCTGGGGCCGGTGCGTAGCAGCTGGGAGAGTCAATTGTGCACATCTCTCCCCAAGTCCGTGTTTGGCCTCTTCGAGTTGGTAGCTTGAAATTGGTCATGGTAGACATACTCACACCATGGAAATAAGCAAACACTATAAATCAGGCTTTGTTGAGTGTCTACTGTGTGCCAGGCTGGGGCCAAAGCAGTGAACAGAATCGAGCTGCTGCTTCATGGAGCTTCTGTTTGATCTGTCATCTCTGTCTCTAACACCTGTTTGTCTCCATCCATCCCTTGAGTTCTTTCTTCAAGCTTTTGCCATCCGTCTATCCATCCACTTACCTGTCCATCTACCCACCAGTGTACCCACTGGTCCTGCCATCATCCATCCACCCACCTCCTATGACTCCATCCTCCCAGGCAGACCAGCGATTGTCTTCATCTTGCACCCAAGTTTATGAGCTAAGCCCTTTCAAAGATGGAGCTGGTCAATAGCTTCGTCTGGCCCAGGCCAGAGCCCCCGTCTGACTCTGGGCCTGGCATCAGTCAGTCTCCCAGGTGCTCCCCTCCCCGCCGCCCCCCGCCCCCAGCACAGAGCTTCGTGTGTGTGTGTGTGTGTGTGTGTGTGTGTGTGTGTGGACAGCTGAGCAGCTGCCCCGGGGAGCCTGTTGCCCCAGGTGGCACCTGGAAGCTATTGCCCCCGAGAGGGTGTGAAAACCACTGCACACCTTGGCCCAAGTGTCTCCAGGATGATGGTGCGGTGGTGAGGGCTGTTCACACAGGCAGGAGCTGTGGTTTCACATTCGCACTCCCATCTGGGCCTCACACAACCTGATCCAGGTTCATAGTCCCACTATCAATGTTCTAGAGCTTTCCACACCAAGGGCTCATTGTGTTCTCTTCATGACTGTTCCCAACCACCCTGAGTCACAGAAAAGCTTTTAGCTGGACCAACGTCTGCCGACTTCTAGCTCAGACTCATCAAAAAGGAGAAACAAAAAGGAGAAACAAACTAGAGCTGAGTCTCCTTCAAGCATCGCCCTGCAGCCTGGCCTCCAGGCAGGGAGACAGGCCGGGGTTCCAAGCCGGGGTGGGGATTCCCCTCGGGCGCAGGGCTCTGGCAGCGAGCCTCTGAATCAGACCCCCCACCACCTCCCCCAACCCAGTGGTCTTGAAAGGCCGCCTCTAAAGATCAGTACCCGGAGGGGGAAACAACCTTATTTTCTTAAAAACAAACAACAAAAAACTGTGAGTTGTGTGCGGTGTGTAGCATTTATGTCTGCCTCTTGGGCAAAACTGAAGTTCAGTAAGGAGCCTTTAGAATGTGGCTGTTTTCTTGGCTTCTTAATTCACATTTCAACAGACTCTGACAAATGAACAGGCACTTCACTTCCCCCTAATTCCCCAAGATGAGTAAACAAGACGCCAGGGACATGGGAGTGCTGTGTCATGGCCACTGAGTCCCCTCTGCCCCCATCCCCACCATGAGCACCAAAGGAGGGGAGTTTGGGGGGGGGGCCCCACCCTGTACCCCAACACTCGACACAACGCCCAGCCCGTACTGTGCTCAATAAATAATTCTTGGGTTGCAGAAAGGGAATTTGTAAATGAGCAGCAGGAGCCAGAAAAATATTTTTTTTAATTTTGGTTGGTGGGGGGTTGTCTTAAAAGATATGGCTGACTGAGGTTAAGCCCGGAAACTCCTCGAGTGGCCCCTCTGCAGGGTGGAGATGGCCTGGCCCCCAGGCAGGCCAGGCGGTGGCTGCTTTCTCACCCCCACCCACCCACCTCCAGCACAAGCTCTGGTCCCGCCACAGAAGGAAGGAAGCTGACGTTTATTGAGGGTCTGCTCCAGGCTGCACACTGCGTGGGCGACCTCACTGATTTCCCTCAAAGGTCGGTTGTGCCATCCACGTTGTCCAGACAGGAAACCCCAGCCCAGAGATGGGGAGCGACTCACCCGAGGTGGCCCAGCCAGGAGACGTCAGAGATGGGACTCAGACGTAGGTCCACGGGCCGCCTCCAATCTGCCCACCCCCAGGGTCACTGTGGGCTTGCTCCATCTCCTTGATTAGGAAGAATATGACTTCTTGTAGCTTCTGGAGACACCAGACCTGGAGGGCAGGGCTTGGTGTCTGTCACAGGCAGTGCCCTGGTCCCCAGAGGCCCTATGGACAACACTGGACCAGCCTCTTAGCACATGACCCAGGAGCCACCCCATGTGCCTGGCAGGGCGGGAGGCTGTCACCGTGTGCACATAGGCTCGCATGCTGCTCACACACACAGACACCAGTGTGCACCTGAACTGCACACACACGTTGTGCACTCCAGGCTCGGGGCCCCATCCAGGAGACTGAAGGCTGCAGACCTCTTCACCACAGTCCAGGTGACCACGGCTTTGGCTCATGGCCCAGGGGCGCGGCCATCTCTGCATGGCCAGTCAGCCTCACTAGCTGGCTTGGGGCCCAGGTCCCGTAGGTGGAGGGGCCATGACCACCCACTGGCGGAGGTAGCTCCTGGGGGGCCCTTCGTCCCTGGGGCTGATGAAGTCACACTCCACGGGGCTGCCACAGTCCGAGCCCGCGAAGCCGCTGTCAAATGTGTCCATGTCCAGGCCAGCGGGAGGTGAGCCCGCCTCGCTGTCAGATGCCCCTCGGGGTGGCCTGCCACCCCAGGGTGGCCCCGGCACCCAACCCGCCTCTCCTTCAAGGGGCAGCCTTAGTCTGTCCAGGAGGCTGCCCAGGGGCTCCCCCAGCCCAGCAGGTTCACCAGTTGTGACGCAGCCACAGGACAGAACTGTGGCCCCTGTGCCCAAGAGTGGGTCTTCAGTGCCTGGGCCCGGCTCCAGGCTGGTGTCCAGGTTCAGCGCTGGGTAGCCATCATCCTCACAGGTGCAGGGCCACGTACATGGCTCCTCTGCACCCACCACCATCACCGTGTCGATGGATACCAGGCCGTACGGCCGCTCTGGCTCCTGGCTGAAGGCTAAGCTGCCCAAGCTACCCGTAGTGGAGGGGGCTGGGCCCCAGGAGCCCGGCTCAGGCACCCCGTCTGATTCCACCAGATCCGCAGGCCCCGAAAGCACCGTGAGCTCCAGCCCCTTGGCTGCATTCGGTGGGGGGCAGCAGTTGTACATCTCCAGGGTCGAGAGCACCCCTGGGCTCCAGGGAGCCAGCTCCAGGCTGGAGGGAGGGAAGGGTGTGCCCACCCATTTCTGTGAGAGAGAGCAGGGAAGAGGAGTCAGGAATGGGACAAGGCCCAGGGAGGGTGTAAACTCAGGCCTTCGTGGCTCCACGGCCTGGGGTCTGTGTGTGCAGGGCTGTGGAGATATGGGAGATAGGTGAGTCTGAGGTCTGAGTAACAGAGCCCCCACTGGGTCTCCTGTTTCAGTTCCTCCAGACATTTCTTGAAGCCCAGCATTCCTCTGTTTGTGTCCCCACTAGAGTGGACAGGCTGCTAGCACAGAAGCCCCAATTATTCTGGTCACAGCTGTATCCCCAGAGGTTCACACTGTGCCTGGCACACAGTGCCCAATAACTGTTAACGAAATGAATGAGCAGAGTGAATCAATGACCAGCCACTTGGAATGGCCTCTGTGAGCGGGGTGGGTAAGGGCTGTGGGGTCGTAATGGACTAAGGCATTGGGCAGCCCCTAAGCTTGGACGATCCGCCTCGTGACACCGGGTCTCCATCCAAGCAGCAGAAAGAATCTCTGAGACCTGGAATCTCCCAGATGGGAGCCTATTGCCCTTGGCAAGCTCATTTTAGAACCCTGGCGCAGCCACCACCACTGAGTTGAAGTCACTTCTCAGCTGTGCGGCCTTCACCCGGTGACTTGCCCTCTCTGGGCCTCAGCCTCCTCATCTGTGAAGTGGCCTGCTGATACCCACTCACAGGGTTGTTGTGAGGATTCAATGAGCTACCACCTGGGAAGCTCCTAGCATAGCACCCGGTGTATGGCCAGTGCTCTGTGTGTATTTGGTTAAAACAAAAGAGCTGTGCAACCTTTGAGCTTCCAGGAAGGTGCAGAGGAAAGAGTCAGCCCTGTGTGGGCTGCAGGCTCCTCTCCTGCCCCACTGAGCCCACTTTCCCAATCTGAGCCTCCATCTCCTCATGGGGTTCCCTGGGGATGATGGTACACCCACCCTGCAGGGGCTGCATGAAATGAGGGGAATAGAGGCACAGAGGGTGCTCGCAAAGCATCAGACAGACAGACAGCAGCTCAGCCAGTGCTCTAGTCCATGTTTCCAGGCTTAGCTGGGGCAGGCACGCTGCCCCTCCCACTGTCACCACATCCTCTCTGGGGAGGTGGGGGTGCCCTCCCACCACAGGGTGGGTGTTGAGCAGTAAATGTGCCGGAGAACCCGTGGGTGCCAGCAGCGGTGGCTGTGGTTGGAGCTTGGCGGGGGGTGGTGTATTTTGCAGGCAGGTCCATACCCTTCCCAGAACCTGCTCCCTTTCCACCCTCCTATCAGGGGCACCTATGAAAGGACCAGGAGGCCAATCTGGGGCCCAAGGCAAACCCCACCCCACCCCACCACCCCTATGCCCTCTGCTTCCTTGGGCTGGAAAAGGCTGCATGACCTTGTTTAATTCTTATGCCAATTCTGCCTCCAGGATTACTTCCTGCAGAGACCAAAGCAGGCTCCAGGCCTGGCTGGGCCTACAGGCTGGGCCGGGGGTCCTGAGGTGAGGGTGGAGGGGCTCCCAGAGAGGGTAAGAGGCTTCAAGGGGGCTTGTCACCGGGGGAGAGGGGGGCACACTCACCTTGAAGTCTCCTCTGTGGCCCTCATATAGCGGTTGGAAGAATGGTTCTGGGCTGGGAATCTGCACCCACACCTTCCACAGCCTGGGAGGACAGAGGTGAGGTAAGCCCCCCACATCTCACCAAGGAAAGTCTGGCCTCCCCCTTAGATGCTCCCCAATTTGGTCCTGCAGGACACTCAGCACCTCCCAAGACACCCAGTTGCCTCCTTTCCACCCTGCTCCCTCTCCCCTCACTGCCCTGGCTTCAAGATCCATCTGTAAACTTGGGGTGGCACATCTCCCCCAGGCTCCTGAAGAAGCATGGAATTTAAGGGCTTGGCTGCCCATTCTGCACGGGGCCAACGCAGCCCTTCTCCAGGGTGGGGTGGGCAAAGGGCCACTTCCCCAGGGCTGTGGAGGACTCGGTGAGTGACCCAGCGCCCAGCACCTAGCGGGATCCATGAATCCCCCTCGTCCTCTCTCTCCTCAGACACCTCTGCCTCCATGTGTCCCAGTCTGGGTGAGGACAGCCTGCCTCCGGCGAGGGCTCAGCCCGGGCAGCCTGGATCCGCAGCAGCCAGCGCACGCACGGAGGCCACGGAGCTTCTGGTGACTTTTAATCAGCAGCACCCTTTCTCCCAATGGCCATGGGCAGCAGAACCCAGATTAGAAACGGATAAAAGCAAAACCTCTGGTTGAGGCGGAAGGGGTTGGGCCCCCTTCACCCCACCCGGCAGACCCGCACCCCGGGACGCAAAGCCTAAAATTCACTGGGCACTGTTGAGAGCCCAGGGTTCAAAGGCCAACCTCATTCGTTTCATAGCCATGAGATTTTGGGGGACACTTCCTTAAGGGCTCTGTGCCTCAGTTTCCCCATCTGTCAATGGGGGTCATGGCTGTGCATCAAGCTCACGGGGCTGGTCATTCTCATTGTCATCATCACTGTCACGATGACAAGTGCGTCCCCAGCCCAGGCTGACCCCTCCCCCCTCCCTGGCTCTCTGGCCTCACCTCCACGGCAGACGGATCTTCAGGCTCAGGCAGACGAGGACAGGGAATATGAAGAACAGGAGATACAGCAGGTCAGTGTGCCAGCCTCCCTCTACCACTGGGAAAGAAGCCAATACTGGGTCAAATTGAATCTACCTCTAGGAGAGGCCACACGGGGTGGGTGTGCTGGGCAGTGGGTATAGGGGGGAGTGAAGGGGGTGGGAAGGCTGCTGGTGCCTTGAAGGGAGATGGATCTGGGTGCCAACCGTGCTCCCACCCCCAGCCCAGGCCAGTGACGTCATCTCTCTGAGCCTCAGTTTTCTCCTCTGCAAAATGGGGAGAATGACTCCTCCATCACAGAGCTGTTAGGAGGATGGCACACCTAGCCAGGAGAAGCACCTGGCACCCCAAGGCAGGGCAAGCAGAAATGTCCCATGGCTACCACTGGGGATACACTGAGTGGCTACCTTCCAACCCTGCTGGAAAGCTCACGGCAGGGCTCGGGGCACAACTTGGCACAGTGTTGTGTCCGCCCCAGCTTTTCACCTACCTTCTGGCTGGGTGTGAAAGATAACTGGCTCACTCCACTCGCTCCAGGTGCCCCGGAAGATGGAGCCAGGTTGGGGCCCTGCCCGCATTTGCAGCTCATAGCTGGAGCCTCTGAGGAACTCCAAGGGAAGGAGGGAGACGCTTCTGGAATCCACGGAGATCAGCTTTCTCCGTGGACTCTGCCGGCACAGGAAAGGAAGGGATGCACTGGGCCAGGGCCAACCAGGGCACGGCCCCTGCCTCGAGCACAGCCCCTGCACCAGGCCCCACAAAAGGGGCTCAGTTTCCCCTGCGAAGTCTCCAGCCTGAGTTCGGCCACTCCAGAATGGGCAGCACAGACCCACGGGGCACTGTCTCGGCCTTGCCCGAGGTCCAAAGCTTTGTTCCGTTTCTCTCAGATCCCACAGGAGGAGCCCCGCCCTGCTGGGACTGGGAACGTCCCAGGAACAGCTATGGCCACCTGGGAATCTTTCACTGGCAGCATTCCCAACTGCGGACACTTGGAAGGTTTCCACCGTGGCCATTCTCAATTGTGGACATTTCCAAAGGTTTTCAGGGTGGTTAGAGCGCAGTGCTCATAACACCAAGGTTGCCCAGTTCGATCCCCACATGGGCCAGTGAGCTGCACCCTCCACAACTAGATTGAAACAACTACTTGACTTGGAGCTAATGGGTCCTGGGAAAAACACACTGTTCCTCAATAAAAAAGTAAAAAGTTTTCAACTACAGGCGTCTCAGCAACGGACACCCCTGAAATCCTTCCGCCGGGGACATTCTAATCAATGGCGTTAAGGAAAATCTTCAACTGGGACCCTTCTAAATGATGGATGATTCTAGAACTCTTCAGCTGTGACTGTTCTGAATAGTGGGCCATTCTGGAACTTTCCAACACTGAACAAAGGACACCCGAGAGCCTTTGCTTTGGAAGCAATGGTCATTCTAACCCTGGACTTTTGGTTATTGGTACTTCTGGGACTCCAGCTCTGGCCATTCTAAGAAAGTGTGCGAGTTCCAGATTAAACGGTCCCATTTCTGAAACTTCTTCTACTGTCACTACTAGACTCCAGGTGGGATCTGGGGCGGTATCAGCCCCTTCCTCCTTGACATGCTGGTAGGGAAGGAAACGGGGACAGGAAGGAAAGAATTTCAAGGGGTCTCCCACCCCAGGGAGGTTCGAGGAGAGGGTAAGGGGAAACTTCCATCCTTGGTGTGTCCTTGGCTTCCATTCCTGGCTCTGCATTACAAGCTCCCTGTCTCTCGGACGCTCCCCTCCCCCGCCTGGATGCTCTGCATCCCCCCCACCCCGCCCCACTCCTTGAGTCTCCTTGATTCTCTCACCAGGGTCCAGAGGTCTCCCAGCTTCCTGTACTGCAGCTCGTACTGAAGCTTGTCCTTGAGGGCCAAGGAATCATAATTGGAGCTCCAAGAGATGTTATAACGTCCTGAGAAGGTCACAGTGATGTTGAAAGGAGGAGACGGCTTGACTTAAAGGAAAAAGCCAGAAGATAAAACAGGGTGAGATTTTTGTTGCAGCGGAGAAAGACCTGGTTACTCGTCCTGTATGAGATCAGGATTAATAACCCCAAGTGACTGGGTGAAGCGCCCCCTCATCTCCAGGCCTCAGTTTCTTCATCTGAAAATTGAGAAACTTAGACTAGATTGGGGTGACAAACTCAGGGGCAGACAGGCGACAGAAACAGGTCAGACGAGTCAGGTTTGGGGACTGAACTATAAGAGCCCTCCCAGGCTAAAGGGGGATGCGTGATGCAAGCCAGCCCCCGGTGGCCGGGCAGGAATGCAGACCAGGGTGGGGAAGAAAAAAAACCCTAGGAATCCAGATTATTGTAGGAAATCTCTCAAATGTTAACGTTAGCTACGAACCCCAACACTTTCTAAGCTACCTGTCGGCCAGACCCTCGGGTCCTCTAATTTCTACTCTAAATGATGGTGTTGATTCTTTGAGCCCCAGCTTTCCTGAAAAGTCAGAAGACTTGAATTAGCATAGATGTTAATTATGCTGTGCATAATTAATACTGTAATGGTGCTATGCATTATGACGAAAGCCACCACTGCTGAGTACCTGCAGGGCTGCTGTGCTCTGAACACTTTGACACCCCCCCCTGCGAGTTTGGTGTGACAGTTCTTGTGTCACAGATATTTTCTGGAACATGCAAGAGTGGAGATCTGGACCACACCCGTCTGGGTGCCACCCAGGCAAAGGTCCTAGCTAGCCTTCCCTTCCGCTGCATCCCGAATTTAAGCAGGACACAACAAAATATGCGCCTTCATTCCCTCTCTTGTAAAAGGAAACCAGTTGCTATCATACAGGATGAAAATCCATGGGACCAAGCTAAGTGGCAGAAGGATGTAACTTCAGGGGAACCCAGTGACAAATGTCGTGTTAGTGTTAAGAGAAGCGACAGGCCCCTGCCACACGCCCGCCTTGCCTGAGCTCTGTTTGCCACCATCTAACAGTCTCTCTGCCTCCTTCTGTCACCAGCCACTCCCCATCTCTGGGACCTTAGCTCCTTGAGGTGGAGGTTCTGTTCTCCTGGGTCAGTGCTGTGCCCTCACACATTAGGCCCTCCAGAACTATTTGTGAAATTCAGGGGTTTCAGAAAAAGCTCTGGTGCTGCTTATATGACTGTGCCCCAGGGCCTGAGGTGGAAGAAGGCACGGGTCCCCCGCAAGCCATGGTGAGTGCTGTATTGTCACTGCTAGTTCAGCGATGGGTCTTTCTGGACTAGAACCATTCCTAAGCCCTCGGCTCTCTTCCCCAGGCCAGTGGAGGCCAGCTTCTTGGCTTCCTCAGGCGGCCTGGGCTGGCTGGTGAGGACCAATTCAGGGAGGAACTCCGGAGCCTGAGGGTGGTGGTGGGGTGGGGGTGGGAGCTCAGCACAGGGAGGCCCAGGGCCCAGGAGGAGGAAGGGGCACGGAGGGGTGTGCAGGGAGCAGAATACCGCTTCCTGCCACATCTGGGCACAGGCCTGGCCTCAGTCCCTGGCAGACAGGGCAGGAGCGGGGGGGCCCGAGAGAAATGCAGCTGAGAGCCACTGGCAAGGCAGTCCTGCCCAGCTCTCTGAGGGAGATAGGAGGCACCCTTGCTCAATGAATTCACCACACCTGGATCCAAATGGCTGAGTGAGCCTGTGTGTGTGTGTGTGTGTGTGTGTGTGTGTGTGTGTGTGCACGTGTATGAGCGAAAACATGGGCACCTGTGTCTGTGCTGTTTAGGGCAGGGGATGAGAAGACATCTGTGCATGTGAGGGTGTGTTTATGAGTGTGTGTGTGTGTGTGTGTGTGTGTGTGTGTGTGTGTGTGTGTGT